TTCGATGATCTATCTATACGAAAATAATAATCATAAATAACTTATATACGTAAGTAAATCAATCTAATGATGGAGATCAATTATCATTATTGACGTCATTATAGTTTTATTGTTTTTAATTTTTGATAATTCTGTATCAAATACATTAAGCTTTTAGTATAGATTAGTTATATATAGATTCGTGTAATGATATCTTTAGATAGTTCGGCAAGTCTGGCAAACCGAGTTCACGTACCTCATCAAGAGCTCGCCTACAATTACCTTCTTTGTTAGGTATTAGGTGCACTATCTTTTTTCGTACGTTATAATAGATTCGTTGCCTTATACATCAAGACCAGTCTGAATATTTGCAATATTTTCTTAAACAAACTTGTTGCATTCACCAAATTAAAGAAATATCGTCAAGTAAATGGTTTTAAGAAACAATGGCGATTGCCAGAGCGGATATACTCGTTACATATGCCTTGTCTATTATATAAATGCAATAAAAATCTTTAGCAGCTTTATTATGGAGCTCCTACTGTCTAAGTACGGGTTTGTTTTCACCACAAATACATTCCCATAAGGACGTAACAAAAGTTAGAGATAAACATAAGATAAAGTGCAAAACGAATCTGACCAACCGCATCCAAGTGTCCAATGACAGTGAAAACTTGATAGACGAAAACTTTCGATGAAATGCAATAGTTTTGTTCACACACACACACACACACACACACACACACACACATGAAACACATCAATGCAGGCAGACTTATGGCAAACAATTTTGGGCGCAAGCCAATACCAGTAATGCTGAGTTGTGTGTTAAAATGTCAATCTAAGAGGCTTCGATTCACGACTACCTGGATTTTCCATATATTAAAAATCTCACTCAACAATTTTCTTTAAAATATCTTATCAGTCCATCCGTTCTGGATCAACCCAATGGGATAAGAAGGTTGAAAAAGTATCATATAATGAATATTCCAATTGGAAATTAATTAATTTTTATTCCTTAACTTATTTTAATGAGTTCCTTTCTTGTTATTTATGCAAACATCATAACCGCATTCTTTTCATTAAGCGAAAACACTCTCTATTCCCTTCCTCACCTTGATACAACATTTACTCTTTTAACTTTTAATAATCAAAAAAATACTTTACACCACTAGTTACTACACATATCCAGATAACTTGCGACGACTATAGAGACGCTTCCTTCAGAATATTTGTACAGCCACACCATTATTTTTTCGAAAACCAAAAGGGGAAGTTTCGAAGACCCTATAAAGTGTGGTATAAATAGCCTGATTAGTATCATATTCCGAAACGATCTATGCACGTCTATATGCGAGCATTTGTAGGGCTGCTTTGGATATGAGTACTAGATATTATTTCGGTCGCAAGAGTTAAGGTGCCAAAAGATCGGAAATTCTTGCGGTACCGCAACTTGATATTGAAAAGAGGCGAGCGCGTCTACAGTCCTGCAAAAACTAAGGCCACCATGTCCAATATTATAGAGTATCGAAATTACCTTTATACCGTTAACGTTTGTTTTTTTTTTTTTTTTTTTTTTTTTTTGTTTTAGTTGAAGGTGATGTGAGTATAAACGTTTCGGCCAAAGCTGAATATAATGTTTCTTTTGTTAGCACCTTATTCGGAGATTTCATACCCTATTTTTTCGCAAATACCTCCTTTCACTTTTGAGTAAGTGGAAGGAACATAACTCAACATAAACAACAGGGAACTTTAAAATGTTTCTGTAATATATAAAAAAGATCGTCTTTTTCATTGCATATTCCGTGTGGCATAGCACACATTAATTTATGGATTATAAGCTTCAAAAATAAATATTTATTTTGAGTAGCGATCCGCGTTTGCAAGCAAATAAAGCATCACACCTTGTAGATTCAAATTTTTTGTAGTCTTTTCGAAACTATTCGGCCTTGCAGTCATCGCTTGATCCGAGTCATACATTATCCATGCTTTTTTCAAACCTCGTTCACTTTTAATCGAAAGATTTCTCTCTCTCTCTCTCTCTCTCTCTCTCTCTCTCTCTTTCTTTCTTTCTTTCTTTCTTTCTTTTTCTCTCTCTCTTTCTCTCTCTCTTTCTTTTTCTCTCTCTCTCTTTCTTTTTCTCTCTCTCTCTTTCTTTTTCTCTCTCTCTTTCTTTTTCTCTCTCTTTCTCTCTCTCTCTCTCCCTCTTTTTTTATTCTTTTATTTTTCATTTTCGAAGTAAGGCAAACGGACAACCCGCGGTCACACATATTTAGTTGAAGGTATAAATATCTGTAATCGTAACATTTTCAGTAAATTACTTATACGTAGCTTTGACGTTCCAAATTGTTGTCGTTAAAATTATTTTGATATCATGAAATAATGCCAAGGATACTAGAGATAGTGAGAACTTTCCACTTACTTTTTTTCTTTCTTCTCATTATATGACCAAACACCTAGAGGATGTCACTTACACTCGTATAATACAGTGACGATTGGAAAGAAGTGAAGAAAGAGACAGAGATAGAGATAAAGATAGGCAAACAGCGGCAGTCTATTGCGTTTGCGCGCAATTTACGCACTCGCTATACCTATAACCAAAGCAAAGTTTACCGAACTGAGATTTGAACCCGCGAACTTATCCTTGATACGAATTTGCGAGTGCGTCTATGATCCATTCATATGGCGTGTTCTCGATAAAAATTAAGAGATTTGAATATCTCTGTTATGCGCCGCTTTACATTAGAGGCGACGGCTTCATCGAAAACAAAGAGTTTAGTGAAAGATGGCCTTTGCAAAATAAAAATTGTAATAAGTGCTTGCACGTATTTTCATCGATGACATCTATTGATGAAAATGCTAAAGCAATATGAAGTATTAATGTACACAACGGTTAAATAAATTAATTTAATTGAGTTATTTATTGTACACAGACTCTAATCATGGAACGCTTGAAGTTGTATTTTCGACATTCATTGCTTCTGTTGTTTGATTTGAAGAAATCTGCTACCAAGGTGGCCCGTTGAACAATTTTAGATGCTTATGGTGATGCTGCTCCATCGTACCTCAATTGTCGGTTTTGTAGTGACTTTGTTGTCAATGACAAAAAACTGGCCTGGACGACCAAAAAAATTCGAGCACAATGAGTTGCAAGACTTATATAACGAAAACCCAACTCAAACCCTCAAATTACTTTCGAATAGTTCGAGCAGTTGATGAATCACCTGTTTCGAGTCATTTACATACAATGGGAAAGATGCAAAAAGGAGGAAAAATGCTTACCATACGAATTGACTGAAAATGCCATTTTGAACCTGCTGTTTGAATACTGCTGTTTAATTGCTGGCCGGGCAAGCGAGGAAGTCCTTTCTCAGGCAGGGAGTCATGGGTTAGACCAAAAAATCCATGCACATCGACACCGAAGCGCAATATTCATGACCATAAAGTTTTGTTGTGCCCAAGGATGCGATCAGCAAGGTGTAGTGTATTACGAGCCGCTAAAACCGAACGAAACTGTTGCTGCAGACTGTCTGCCGACTTCAATTGAACGATGTATTATTGCAAAAAAGACCAGAAATAGCGGTTAACAGGCGCAAAGTCATTCTCTTGCATGACAACGCTCGGCGGCAGTTTGCAGGAGGTGTCAAGGATACATTAGTGTAGCATAAGTGGGTAGTTCTGTCGCACAAACCGGACGGACACGGCACCTTCTGCTTACCAATGGTTCAGATCGATGCAGTATGACTTGGCGAAAAAATAGGTCAACGATAGTTCTTTCGATACGGTACCGGCATGTTGCCAGAAAGATGGGAAAAACTTGTAGTGAATGAGAGGAGGAAATCCCTCTTGATTAATATTTATTTTACCAGATTTTGTCAACGAATGCCTTTTTCAAGTGAAAGAATGATCAAAATACATACAAGCACCTAATATAAATCACGAATGTAATGAATTGCTATATATAATTGGGAATGTGTTTGATCTGCGGAAACCTAAATATTTGCATTATATTTATTTCTCCATAATACATACGTATATGAGAGTGTTATATAAGATTAAAGAACAAATAAGTCGGACCGGCATGCGGCCCTCCGTCATAGGTTTTTATGCAGCCCTAAGGGAAAGCAAATTTCAAATTTTATGAGAAAACAGAAGAGACAAAAAAAAAAAAAACGTTCATATCCATTAAGCACATTAATACTCACTCACCTACACTCACTCGCTTGCGCTATATGGTGGGAATCTAATATTTGAAAATCACTATTTTCGTTGAGCATATAATGAATGCAAACTTGGTTTCATTAATGCAATTCATCAAATAATAGAATAACGGAAACAATAACGGAAAATGTATAAGCGTTGTGTTGTGCATTCGGCATAAAGCCGGCACGATTTTGGTCTTTTTGAGTGCAATAACAGAAGCACCTACTGGAAAGCTCAAAGGCTTAATATTGATTTAATAATCAAAAAAAAACTATTGAACCTAACACGAACTCTGACTAATACTTGGAACGGATAAACCGTTTCACGCAATATTTCCTAACATTACACCAACGGCTTGTGCTATCTGACTATATCCGCTTGTACAACGCAGAATACTCGAAGAGGTGCTTTAAAGCTTAAACGTCACACTATTTTTTTTGTTTGCTTTTTTTTTTTTTTTTTTATTTTTGTAATTAAATACATTTTTTTTTTCTTCTTTCGTTCTGCAAAAAATGCTGTTCTCTAATGCTTGCCGGTAAATCAACCCCTGTGCAAAAAGTGTTTAATAGTGACAATGGGGCTGGGGTTAGAGGTATCTACTAATGTTTGTTACAATGTCATTGCGGAAATGTGTGTCGGGGAAGTGAAGGAAAAGGGAAATGCAATGGAATTATAAACAACGTCAGTACATTCACCACAAGTATTACTTGGAAAAAACAGACGAAAATTAGTTCAGTCATTTTTCAACCATCAAGTAAAATTGTTCTACGAAAAACAAAAAAAAAAAAAGAAGAAAAATAATCTTCAAAGAAAAGAAAATTGCAGCTAATTGTTAAAAGCTCTGTGTCATCTGCGCAGGAAAGTTGAAAATAATTCCGAACTAACTAACTAACTAACTAACTCTTTTGGAAATAGAGCAACTCCGTGACAATTAATAAATTACTGCATAGATCGTTTGGCAAAATGGTTGTCTCCTCCGACAACCATATACGCCTTAAACGTTACACTAGCGGCGGCAGTTTAAAACAGAAAACGGTTTGTTGCATTTTGGTTTGCTTGCGAGAAAATAAACATATAGAAACAAACACAAACATTTGTGCAACAACAACAACAAGTTGTCTTTACCTTGAGGCGAATTTCGGCTCATCCTCCACCTCGAATACCTCTAATTCGCCAATTAAAAACTATTTTTTGAAATGGGCGTGTAGGTGTGGCCCTGATAAATATATGCGCTATTCACGAGTATCTTTATTTATTTACTTTTTTTTTTCTTTATTTGTTGACCTATTGCTGAGTGAGTGTTATCGAACAGATCCATTTTCATTTTTTCACCTATCTGCGAACATAACAAATCGATTAATTATTGCCGGGGCTGGCACATGTCTGGCGGATGTCGTGTCCATCAAAAAAATTCGCGCATCCTCGAACCACGCCTTTCAGAACCCCATATCACATTTATATCGTTTATGCAGGAGTTCGAATAGATTTAGTAGTGACGCTGCCTTTGTTATTTTCAAAACAAATCCGATTTCTGGGTAATACGTCTAAGAATATCGCTGCTATGGTAACTTTTCTCCACCGATAAAATTAATTAATTCATCGGTAGTTTATTGATTTTGGGCGAAAGTCGCACATGCACGCTGTGGATGGCCAAAAGGGATGGCTACATTACATGACTATTGAAAAGTGAAGTTACAAGAAATTGATAAGACCGCTAAAAGCATCCAAAAGCAATTCATTCGAGCAATTATTCTTTCTCAAAACGGAGCTTTACTTACAAACAGGAACAAAAACATCAACGTGTTAGCGACGCGAAACGTGGGCAAAATTGCTTGAATTACAGTTCGAGGTGTTAGTGGGATAGCATCCCTATTCTTCCGAATCTGGCACCAACCGACTATGATCGACTGGCAAACTTCGAACGAGTGCTCCATGGAATAAGCTTTCGATCATGTGGTGGACTCATTGCCGAAAGTCAAGCTTTATGTGAGGATCCCGATATATTGTTTCATGAAAAAGTCGTCAATATGTTAGAGAAGCATTGAAGGAGATTGAAGGAGACTATGTTCATGAATAAAGATGAATTAAAAAAAAAAAAAAGAGAAAATATGTATATATATATATATATTTGTTCTTCCTACGTTAGTCCCGGGAATTATTGATCTATATATTAAATTGTGTCCAAATCGAAATTTTTAATCGAAGTTTTTGTGATCTTGCCGGTCGCAACAACAGCCGAAATCAAGCACGGAGAACAACCGCCTCACCTCTTACAGGGTAGATATCGGACGTCGGAAAGATTTATCTAAAAATTAATTATGCTTTCGTTTCATGTCCATTAAATAAATAAACATTGGCAATAACATTGGTTAGCAGCAAGTCTCTTGTTAATCTTTTCTTAGCTGTATTTGCAAACAGAAATCGTATGCATCAACACTTATAGGCGTTCATAAGGCAATAGTTCAAATTTAAAGGCAATAGTTTCCCAACCATTCTATATTGAACTAAATTGAATCAACTCTTCTTAACCGTATTAAATGAAAACACGATGCAGTTTATTCTTTAATCTCTACTATGTGTTGATTACGACTGGAATAGTTACTAAAGTACTAGTGTATTAACTAAACGCTTTGATGATCGGTAGACACACATCTCACCTTTCGTGCCTGATGCTTTCATTTTTCAAATCGAACGTAGATAAATACCACCCTCTCTTTCTTTGTTCTTCTACATAGAAGTCTCCTTAACCGTCGCCGTATCGTACCGCATACCACAACGTGTGCACAGTAGAGAACATCCCTTGACTGGTTAGTCACTAAAATGCGACAAAAGGAAAGGAGAGAGAAGTTTACCACGCAAATGGCGGTAAATTCAAATCTTGTGTAAATTTTGAGACACTTTGTATACACAGTTCGCACGTTGACTGGGTTCAAGTGCATCTCAGTTACTCACCGCTAAATGGAAGCATTTACAGCTCAGATTTCCACATTTATTTTCTTTCTTACTTGCATAGTTGTCCAAATTTGATAACTAAATATCTCTTCTAAATTTTAAGATTTCTCCTTTATGCGGTACACAGTCAGAATTGAGTAACGCTTTCGTGCTAAGCTTCTCAGCTCGATGCGAAGCACGAACAAGTCTAAATCGACAGTAAATATCATTTCGATTTCTTATCGAGAAACTCTAAAAATATTTCATTTAGTCTTTGGCGTAGTGCAATCGTTAGAAGCGAATGTACAAAGATCTTTTAGATTTGAGAGATGAATGCCTAGATTTGTAACCAGATATTTCTATTATTAATCAATTTTATTAAAAAGTTTCTGGTCACATCACGTTCAGTCGAATACGAGCGAGGAGGAGACAAATTTAATTTTTTTATTTATTTCAAAGGGAAATGTCTTTCCCGGTACAGAGTTAGCAGCGCAAAGTTTGCAAAACGCTACCTTTGAAACATTCAACGCTTCAGGCGAATAAAAGTGGTAAACTTTTTTGTTCATTTATTAGAACGCGTGTGTTTGTCGATTAAGAGAAATTTTTATTACGAATAAGTCAGAGTTAACCTTTGTTAATATTAGTACCAAACTTATTACATATTTGCACAGCTTTACGCAGACGCAGCCGAATAGCAATTATTTGCTATTGCTTACGGTTCTTGTTATCAAGCCAGCACGCTCAGGTGACGAAACGCAAAAAGGATACAATCGTTATTTGCGATGGCACAAATATGAAAATTTAACATTCGATATCGAGCAATATTCATACGCCTATCGAGTATCATCAAGTCATTATAAGGTCATCAAGTCGTTAAAGGTTGCCCGGTAACGAGAACCATTAATTCAAAATTTGAAAATTATGGTCGCCGTAAACGTGATTTGTTGTAAGCAAGCTCTAGCCGTTATTATTAAGAAGAAATTTCCAACAATTTTCGCGATGGCTTGGCACACGGCTGAAATGACTAATGACAATCGTATCTGCTCAAGAATACATTGATCTTGCAATATTGTCGCCTCATGTGTGCCCATATAATCTTGGCAACTTTCTTCGTGATATGTAAAATACAACATAAACTTGGATCGCATAACACATTCACATCAATGCGCTTAAACTACATATATATATATAGTTTTAATTGGGTTTTAATACAGTGGCCAATAAATTGCTCTTATGCAAGTGGCTTTTAACTATCAGTTTATTTGTGTGGCAACAACATGCACGTAACAATATACGGGCAAGTGCCTGCCAGTGCCTGCTGCATTGTATCGTATTTTTTGTTTCTCTTTAATCTCGAAAAAAAAAAAAAAACCTATATGTTAATTGGATTTATTCCGATATTAACCATTTTTTATTATAATTACATCATATTTTCAATTAATTGCAATATTGAAAAAGCTATTGTTGTAATCAGGAGGGCTATTGGTATGCGTGTGTCAAATTACATACATATGACACGGACTTTTGCTTATTGCAATCAGTTAACAAAGTGCGAATGTGAACTAAGTTAGCTAAACGAAGTCAGCGGAATAACGGGGAACTCTTTGCATATTTATTGCAAAGACAATGAATGACTCGTCGTTGTTAACCTTATATCAAGCGCACTTTCAGATATGAACTGTGCAACTTAACCACTTAATAACCTTCCAACTATTCGCTAGCTACCTAAATGTAACGTTTCTCATCTGCAATGAAAAAATATTTAAATCTTCAATCATCAAATTTATTGTTACACATTTATTGTTGTTACACACTCTTTTCATGGCAAAGTCTCACTCTTTCGATGCCAGGCATCAACTTCTCATGCGTAAAGCATAATTCTCTAGCGCGCCGCCCGTGGGAGCGACGCATATGTATACCCGATGAACGGAACTCAACCAAGGGAATGAATACACGACTCAACCATAGCATTTTACCTAATTTTTCAAATATATATGATATGATATGATACGAGCGCACGAGCATCTTCAATCAATTTACAATCTCTAGCATACTTTTGGGTAATAACAACAGCCATCGTCATCATCCTCCAGTGAGAATTTTCCTGATTATGATTTCCAAAAGTTTCCACATTTCGTCTTATGTTATTTATTAATATGAGCTTCCGACAAAAGTATCTAAACCAAATGATTTACGGATTTTACTTTCTTTCAATCAAAAAAGATGCTTGGGAAGATAATTGGGAAAGAAGAACTAAAACATAAACGATAAGCACTCTTTTCCTTCCCCCTTAAAAAAATAATATCAAGAGCTTCTATTGTTTGTCGTCTATTATTCGGTGTGAAATTCTTCCTAGTTGAGGGTCAATATATCAGTAAAATAGATGATCTAAAAGTTCCTTGCCTTTCTTCTTACTCTTGTTAGTTTATTGGCGAACTTTTAATGAACAAAAGATTTTCTATCCTCTAAGCTAACACAGATGGGGTATCATTAGCCGAATATAGATCTTACAGAACGCAAGCTTATTATAAGGACAAAGACCAAGCCCAAGGTCAGAATACGAAGAGACACTTCCCAACTCGCCCTTTAATCATTAGTACAATTGGTTGAAGGTAGGAAGGATTATGGTTTACTAGATTGACACTTTTTGAATTCATTTAGATTTGGTGACTGCATACCGTGCAGTCGCAGTCACTGCAGTTAAGTGTGTACATAAATTTTGTAAATTTTTTGATAAAATTCAACTCTATCTACCATTGTCTATTGCTGTATCTCTTATCGGGTAACCTGCACAAGCTCTCGTATTAGATACTTCGTCGAAGAGGTTGTCGACAATTTTTCTGAGATATTGACGAATTGATAAAGACGATTGCATTGACCAAAAAAAAGAAGACACGTTTAGAGAATAATCGCCTGGCATGTCTCAGCTGGAGACGAACGGACGCACGTGCACGAGCGTTCATTGTCGTCAAGACTACAATTTTTTTCAACTCAATTTTGAAAACTATTTTCTAAATAGTTTCATAGCTCACAGCAATTTCTTTCCAAGTCAACGTTATCATTTTCGTAGCTTGAGCCGACTTTTTTTTCCGATGCCGCAAATGACTTACACTGTAGCCACATCTAAGCTACGCAATACACAAAACTTCAAAAAAAAAGTGATTATGTCAAGCACGCAGCGAATGCACGCACCAACACACCCAACAAATTTAAATCTGTAGAATTTATTTGTACACCTAATAATTTATTATCGAGATTAAGATTGAATTAAACTTTGCAACTCGAACGTGAAACGAAAGTGAAATCAAGTTAATGTAATCAGCACATATTAGAATAAGTGAAACAAGTCTGTAAGACAAACGAAAGACGGGCAATGTATGTCTATGTTAACCAAAACTGGGATAACTATTTTGGAAAATGTCTAAAGTGACGTAAACAATTTTCGAAAGACTAAAATTAACAGGAAATAAGCAGGAAAATTACATGACCGGGTCGTGACCGAATCTTCTATATGAGGCATAAAAAATGGGGATGCATATTATACATTTTCGTATTATGTAACATGGGGCGGACACGGTTGATTTTTTTCTATTTTCGGAATAAAAGAGGAACTTGCATGTGTTGTATAGTCTTGTGCGCGCACTGTAGTTTATGCGTAGCAAGTCAAAAACACGGAAAACAGAGGTGTTCACAATTTCCGTTTTATAGGCATGTGGGCTTTTTTGGGCCCGTTCTTTGACCGGTTTAATCCATTTTTTTAATATTCTTTTGCGAATTTGTAAGAAATATCTTAGGTTTTGCGAAAGAGAGGACGACACCGCACAGTTGGGCAGACTAACAGATGAACGGACGAACATGCTTGGGTGCATTCCGTAAAATTACCTTCTCACCGCCCACAGAATGCACATTTGAATTTTTGTATATTTATCTACCGTAGTTCATGTGTAACGAACAAAAAAACAATTTTTTTCTTAATCCTTCTGAAAAACAGAATGGTGTCCTCAGTTTAGGTGATATTGTGGACGCATTCATTCAGCGGATTGGACCCATTTTTAATACCAACCAGCATCCAAGAATTTCCAATATCTCTGCCAAATTTAAACAGTCGATACCTTTATTTCTACGGCCTGAAGAATATTTCCAACAGATATTACACAAACAAACATACGGACATGCTTAAATCGATTTAGAGTTTGATGCTGATCAAGAATGTATATCGTATGTGGGATCTCTGAAGCTTCCTCCCCTCATCTTTCGCAGATGTATATAAAAATGACTTTATGCTTTTCAAGTACGATGGTATTCGATTTCTCTCGATCGACTCTTTGAGATAAGCGTAATTGTATCAATTTCAAAAGAAGCTACTGAAGGCCCTCGCGTAGACAAATTTTGCTGGCAAAACATCAGCAAATGTCTTAACAGGTCTAGAGCGAACTGCAGGAACACTGATTGCAGTCGAACAATCCTTAATAAAATTATGACGGATCTCGGTATTAATTAACGTAACGTGTATTGCCTTTCATGGACAAAAAATAGTAAACAACAATTCAAAGAAGTGGAGAAACGGACGGGGAAGAAATACTTGTAATGTGAATCGATAGAAAGTACAACTTAATTGGAATACTTTAGCGATTAGATAGATTTCAAGATTTCATATCTTCACAAAGAAAAAGATGCGGGAAAGACTCACTATTCTCTTAGTATTAGTTGGGTTTCAATATAATTTGAAATTTCTAACTTTGTTAAGCAGTCGATGATGCGATGCACTAATTTTTCATTTACGGCATTTCGATTTAGGTGAACCGAATCTATTGGACTATTACACGTAGCCGCTTTAAGCCAACCGAAGCTAGTAATGTTTTAGATGTGAATGCAGGGCCGGTTCTTAACTTTTCTTTCAAAGACTACTAGTATTATTACTACTACTACTACTACTACTACTACTACTACTACTACTACTATTACTACTACTACTACTACTATTACTACTACTACTACTACTCAAGACTACTACTAACCTTATATTAAAAAAGCGAAACTTACTAACAGATTAGATTATTGATACGTAGAACGATCAGGTCCAAATTTAGTAAAGTTAATTTTCCGCAACTTTATTACTATGCCTTACAAAAGTTTGCTAATATTATGGGTCATTCGATTTGGAATGAATTAATTTTGAACATTATTGACTTAGGAGGAAGACCATTCGAATTGACCGGAACAAGTTCGAGAAAATCGCTTAGTTAGTAGATATAGGTGTTTGACATTCAAATGACTGCTACACTGGTATTAATTAATTTATTTATTTATTTCCGTGCTGAAGTAAAATTAAATTTAATTTAAAGGTATTTATGAGAATGCATTTGTTTATGTGAATATAAGTAACAATGGCACCTTGTACATATGTGCTTTACTATTCGTTTATATCAAATTTTGTTATTTTTTGTTATTTTATTTTGACAGCTAAATGTTCGCGTTACCACTATGGATGCCGAATTGGAGTTTGCGATTCAGCAAACTACCACCGGCAAGCAGCTTTTTGATCAAGTTGTTAAAACGATTGGTCTGCGTGAGGTCTGGTTTTTTGGTCTTCAATACACTGATTCAAAGGGTGACTCCACTTGGATAAAACTATACAAAAAGGTTAGTTGAAGTTATAAATGAAGTTATGCTTTCCAATCTCAATCTCAATTTCATTCATCACGACATCCCATTATCGGAGATTACGCATCAGAAACATTAGAAGCTAAGAATTTCGACTCTCATGTATATAAAAGAATTTTTTGTAAAAAAGTTTTTTTTTGAAATTTTTTTTTTTTTTTTTTTTTTAAATATTATTATATAGATATAAGTTTGGCGTTTGCATTAAAATTTTATAAATTTCGTTTGTATGTGAACATTATTAGCCCGAATCACCGGCCATTAAAACTATAAAGTATCTGAAACGGGTCAAAAAGTATGTGGATAAGAAAACACAAGATGGTGGTCAACAACATGACGACGATACCGACGACAGCGATGAAGAGGATTTGGTGGGTGGCATACGAACAGAAATTAGCTTTAGCTCTCCTTCCCTTGAATTGATTAAACAATGCTAGTCAAGTATTTTTTTTTTTTTTTTTTTTTTTTTTTTTTTTTTTTTTTTTT